TCAGAAGTTAAAACAATGTTACGGTCATCCCCTGACGACAGTCAGAAGTTAAAACAATGTTACGGTCATCCCCTGACGACAGTCAGAAGTTAAAACAATGTTACGGTCATCCCCTGTCGACAGTCAGAAGTTAAAACAATGTTACGGTCATCCCCTGACGACAGTCAGAAGTTAAAACAATGTTACGGTCATCCCCTGTCGACAGTCAGAAGTTAAAACAATGTTACGGTCATTCCCTGACGACAGTCAAAAGTTAAAACAATGTTACGGTCATCCCCTGACGACAGTTAGAAGTTAAACAATGTTACGGTCATCCCCTGACGAAGGTTAAAACATTATCACGGTCATTCCCTGACGACATCAAAAGTTAAAACAATGTTACGGTCAACCCCCGACGACAGTCAGCAGTTAAAACAATGTTACGGTCATCCCCTGACAACAGTTTCAACCCAGAAGTTAAAACAATGTTACGGTCATGCCCTGACGACAGTTTCAACCCAGAAGTTAAAACAATGTTTCGGTCGTCCCCTGACGACAGTAGAAGTTAAAACAATGTTACGGTTGTTGTTATACGACAGTCAGAAGTTAAAACAATGTATACGGTTATCCCCTGATATCACAATGTATCACAGTTTATTATATCATACCACAGAAGTTAAATCACAATGTTCCTTGTTGTTATATCACAATGTATCCCTGTTGTTATACCACAATGTATGATTGTTGTTATATCACAGTGTATCCTGGTTGTTATATCACAATGTATCCTTGTTGTTATATCACAATGTATCCTTGTTATTATATCACAGTGTATTCTTGTTGTTATACCACAATGTATGATTGTTGTTATATCACAATGTATCCTTGTTGTTATATCACAGTGTATCCTTGTTAAATCACAGTGTATTCTTGTTGCTGTATCACAATGTATCCTTGTTATTATATCACAGTGTATTCTTGTTGTTATATCACAGTGTATCCTGGTTAAATCACAGTGTATCCTTGTTATATCACAGTGTATTCTTGTTGTTATATCACAGTGTATTCTTGTTGCTGTATCACAATGTATCCTTGTTGTTATATCACAGTGTATTCTTGTTGTTATATCACAGTGTATCCTGGTTAAATCACAGTGTATCCTTGTTATATCACAGTGTATTCTTGTTGCTGTATCACAATGTATCCTTGTTGTTATATCACAATGTATCCTTGTTGTTATATCACAGTGTATTCTTGTTGTTATATCACAATGTATCCTTGTTGTTATATCACAGTGTATTCTTGTTAAATCACAGTGTATTCTTGTTGTTGTATTACAATGTATCCTTGTTGTTATATCACAGTGTATTCTTGTTGTTATATCACAATGTATCCTTGTTGATACATCACAGTGTATCCTTGTTATGTCACAGTGTATTCTTGTTGCTGTATCACAGTGTATTCTTGTTGTTATATCACAGTGTATTCTTGTTGTTATATCACAATGTATCCTTGTTGTTATATCACAATGTATATTAGCTGTAATATCACATTGTATCATTGTTGGTACATATCAGTGTAATCATTGTTGTAATATCACAATGTAACTATTGTTTTTTTTTTGTATGTAACCTCTTATTGCTCTTGTCCAATCCTTTCGTCATATGCATTTGCAAGGATAATTCTATGCGATGATAACATAGCATACATGTCGAGTTCTTAGTTAATTATCAGGGAACCAGACAGACCAGTACCAGCCAGATGCAACATTTCCTCCTTCTTTGATCCATTTCCTCCGAAAGTTACATCTTTTCCCGTTTACCCGCATCTGTTTCAAATTTTGTATGATATCCTGCACAGACTGACCTTCATGCTGTTTAATCGTTGGAAACTGCTTACAGCCATTATAGAGACAAGATTTTGGTTTACCTGTTATTGTAAGTTAAAATGAAACTACTGGTTCAGGGCGAGGAAAGCTTATAAAACTGAATATACACATTGCTTTGTTTGTGAATACCGGAAATAAATACAACTGTATTTGTTGATGAAGGTGTTTAGCTGTCATTCAAGAAGAAACTGACACTAGCTCATTACACCTGGGTATTCCTGTTACACATTCCTTGACTAGATAGCTTATTCTGTTTTTGATTTACTCAAATGTATGTCCCATAGTTTAACCTAATCATTCATATTATCTAGATCATGACTATGGCTTTCAGCAACTCCAGTGGGATTGTCGTCAATAAGTTGGAATAGATGGGTCAATCAACACCTTTAAATATCTAATAGCTTGTCCTGCTTTCAAACAAATTTTACAGTTGATTCCTTCAAAGTTGGTCATATTATTATTGATTTTTCAGCTGTGTTTTTGAAAGTTGGTCCACTTTCAAGGTAATTCATTTGAACAAACCTGGCAGTCCTTCATCCAAACACGCTGCTGACCCAATATCATTACAATGAACTACTAGAATATTGAGGTTCGATTATCTAGCAAGTTCTTTACACATTTGACCTCTGTGACTTTGATATAGGATCAAGGTCTTTCATTTGAAAAATAAAACTTGTAAGCCCTCCTACAGGCCAAATATCAGTACCCAGGATCTCTTGTATATTAACAATTCTTTTAAACGATAACACATTATGTTGCCTTGAAAGTGGGTCAAGGCCATTAATTTGTACAAACTTGGTAGACCTTAGTTCAAGAATGATACAAGCCTTACATCAGTACACAAAGAGGTAGCCCATGTTCCACTTTCAAGGTCATTCATTTGAACAAACTAGATGGTCCTTTATCCCATGCATTCTACAAGCCTTTCAGTACCCATGGTCTCTTGGATATTGAGTTGTTTGCAAATTATATATTTGACCTCTGAGACCTTAAAAGTGAGTCAATGACATTATTTTGAACAAACTCGGTACCTCTTCTTCCCAGCATACTATAGGCCCAATATCAGCAATCAAGGCCTCTTGGATATTGAGAACAACCTTATTTTATTTCATATATATTTGAACCCTGTGACCTCAAAAGTGGGCCAAGGGCATGGTATTTCTTCATCCTAGTTCTGATGCCAGAAAAATATATTTCCATCCTTGGGAAGAAAACAAATAAGAAAAAACAAGAGGTCCAAGGGGCCTTAACAGTCACCTGTGGAATATATGTCAATAATCTGGGGATTTTAAAATGTTGCAAAAATGTAACAACACTTGTGCAGGAACGTGTGTAAAACATCAGTACCAAGTTTGAACATGATCAACCCAGTGGTTCTTGAGAGGAAGTCCAAAATGGCTTAGCCAAACAGAGGCCATGGTGGCCATCTTGGATTTTGAATCACCCCAAAAGTTAAAACACTTGCCAGGACCTTGTGTAAAACATTCGTATCAAGTTTAGACATGATCAACCCAGTGGTTAATCTGATTTACCTAATTTTACCCCCTTTTTCCCCCTCCTGGGGCCCTTAATGGGGCCAAGTCCTTTTTCTTTGCAAACTTGAAGCCGCTTCCCATGGGGATGCTTTGTGCTTTGTTTGGTCAAAATCCATTCACTGGTTCTTGAGAGGAAGTCATTTAAAGAACGTTTTTACATATGGCCCCTTTTACACACCTTATTGGCCCCAAAGGGGACATAATCACTTTTTCCAACATAATTTCATATGTCCTTCACTAAGGGATGCTTTCTTCCAAATTTGGTTGAAATCGGTCAAAGTTGAATTTTTTACCCTTTTGAGCGCCCACTAGTGGGGCCGTTTTTGACCCGATTTCTTTTTCATTCGCAAACATTGTAGACCTTGCCGTAAGGACCCTAAACTACAAACATTAACTTAATCTGACTGTTGGTTCATGAGAAGAAGATTTTTAAAGATTTACCTAATTTTACAACCTTTTCCCCCCTCCTGGGGCCCCTATTGAGGCCACGCCCTTTTTCTTCGCAAACTTGAAGCGGCTTCCCAAGGGGATGCTTTGTGCCAAGTTTGGTCAAAATCCATTCGTTGGTTCAAGTTCCGCTACATATACCGTAAATTTGCAGGTATAGTGCACACTCGGGTATAGTGCACAGGTACTTTTTTTCGGGTCAGATTAAAAAAAAAAATGAAAAAAATATTTTCTACTGAAAGATTAATTGATTACTGGTTACCGCGATGAAACAGTTGTGGTTTGATCCATTGATAATTAGGAAACCATAATCATCGTGACCCTAACATATTTAATTACCTTATGTAAACAAATTCACACTGGTGCCTGACTTAACAAGCATGAAAGGCTTGGCTAATTGGATAATTAACAGTTCTTAACAGGTAACAAACATGTTGAGTATGAGCAGATTGATGACACCCGGCTTCGGCTGAATGCGTACTATTGCTCAGAAAATGATGTTGTTTTAACTGTCTGAAAAGTTCCAATCCTACCTTGTCCCCATATCTGTACCAACCGAGGTACAATTATAGATTGTTTACACCGACATATATATGTATTATTCTATATTTAAGAGCCACAGCACTTTTTGAAATAAATTTATCATCAGATATGTTAATCAAAAACATGTCCGATTGCTTGTACAATTCTTCTGTTAAATCATTACTTTTTGTGTTCACATCCTGGCCACAAATTCCAATGTCTACAAACTGTTTGTAAAAGTACATTAATTCACTTAGAAATCAATTGCAGCAGTTGATCTAAGTGATGGCTATATATGCCGAGCTTCCTACAGATGTACAGCATCTAAAAAACTATGACATCAAATGACCACAAGTTCATATCATGGAGATGGCCAGTCAAAAAGGAGATTGTCTGAAATCTGGAAGAGGCGATCTTTGGACAAATTAATGTTCATGGCAGATGGACCAACACAGTCATACTAGAAAATGCATTGTCAAATGTTTGGTCATGCTGAGTCAAATTTGCATACACAAATTAATCATACACAAGTACTTACATGTCATACATTTGCTCTCAGAGTATATCTTATTTATTATAATACAGATAACCAATTATGTTATAATATTATATTTGAAATGGCACATTACTTTAATTTGTAAAATGTAAATACTGTAAAAGTAATAAAGTGCATGTAGATATTGCACAGCTGCTACTGAGTAGCTTGCAGACAAACTAATAATGTGTGTTACATGTGGAAATCCAATACCCTAGTATAGAAGTAGGTCTAAAGCATCTGTACACATCATTTATTAATGCATTTAGCAAATGTCAATTCAGAGCATCACCACGGAGTTTGCGTAGAAATGGAAGTTTGGTCTTGGGTATCGGAGGGGTGGGAAACAAGAGTAATAGGGACAGGAACATTAACTTGAAGTATGGATGGCCGCGAATATGTGGTCCCCCTACCTGCCCCCTCCTTAACACTTTTCTTGGTTACGTATCCATCCTGTGATATGACTGCAGTTGAACTGTTTGAGTTACTAATGGCATCTGACCTGTATGATTTCTTCACTGCATGTGTCTTCCAATGTGCCTGCAGTCTTTCAAATTGTTCAAACTTTATTCCACAGGCACCACACCTGTGTAGTTTGACTTTTGCATGTATTTTGATATGAATGTGTAGTTGATTTGAGGTTCTAAAGTCCTTTCCACAGGCAGCACATATGTATGGCTTTTCTCCTGTATGCGACATTCTATGTAAACTTAGCGCGTTAGAAACAGCATATCCCTTACCACAAATATCACATTTGTATGGCCTTTCTCCAAAGTGATAATGCTTGTAATGTCTCTTTCGGTAAGATGAAAGTGCAAACACCTTCCCACATAGATCACAACTGTATGGTTTTTCTAAGCTATGTGTCTTGAGATGAAACTGCAGTGTATTCAAGTGATTAAACTTCTTCTTACAGAACTTGCACTGGAAAGGCTCCTCTCGATTATGAATTTTCATATGCCTGTTGAGATAAGCAACCATCTTCCCACAGAAGATACACTCATGAGGTCGAGGAAATACTCCTGTATAAGTCAATATGTGGTCCTTCATGTGTCGCCACACTCTAAATTCCTCATCACAGATGGTACACTTGTAAGGTTTCTCTCCAGTATGTGTCCTCATATGGGAATTTAACCCTGCTCCATCCTTAAACATCCTCTCACAAAAATGACAACTGTAGGGCTTCTCTCCTGTATGTAATCTGCTATGTGACTGCAGTTGACTAGAAAGACTAAATGTTTTATAACAGACATTGCATTGGTGAGGTTTTTCTCCATTGTGTATCTTCATATGTGCCTGTAGGTGAGTTTATTGGTTGAACTTTCTATCACATATTTCACACATGAATGGTTTCTCACCTGTATGAGTCCTGACATGTCTCTGTAGATCGCCTTTCTTTTTAAACATCTTACCACAGTCATCACATGTAAACTTGTATACACCGTCTTTGTACAGCCTGACAAGTGTCTGATGTGAAGATAACTTACTTGGCTGTTTGTTGCGGGCATCACACCTTACAGATGTCTCTCTTTTGTGTGTATTTCTGTGATTGGATAAGGAGGCTTTAGTCTCAAACATTTTTCCGCAAAATTCACACATGTATGAATTCTTAAAGTTCAACGCCTCCATGAGTTTTAAAACTATTGCCCTCAAAGTGTAAATCTAAGAGTAGACTTGATCTTGACGAGAGTGGATGAATCTATTCTTCTGTAATATAGAACATCTATATATTGCCAACAAGTGATACATGGTTGTGTTTTTCCATCCTCCTTGTATACATCTGGCAGTTATTCCCTGAAACAGACAGAGACTTATCAATATTGGAGATTACCAAGTATTTGAAGACACTTTTAAAAGACAAATTTGTTTCATTTAAATCAAATTTGTTCAGAAATAAAAGGATCACATTCCAATTTTAATATACTCCCTTTTTAAAATTATGCTTGAAAATATGATTGTCTAAAACAGATGGGTGGATACCTTTAGTTGATGGCTGTCTATGGCTTTCACACGTTTACTGTAAACTTGCTTATTTTGGTCCAATCAAGTTTTAGTGCAATATCAACTTTCAGAAAATTTGTGCAACAATGAAAGTGCAATTAGAGCAATTATATTTAGCACAATAGTATTAGCATGAAAAACACTAAAACAAGTTATGACTTCCATAAAAATGTGAATGTTTACAGCATGTCATGTGCACTGGAGGGATATATATGCTGAACAGTTGGGTTACCTGTCCATCTGTAAAACGAAAAATTTTGTTTCTGAAATGATAATTTCATATCAATATTCGCATTTATTATGCTGTTATTAATATTTACATTTTTATTGACTATGTTCCCTTTAGATGCGCATAGTTATCAAAAATGTGGATATATCTAACAGCCTAACAGATGTGGATTCTGACATTAAATTATTTCTTTAGTGACGGAAATTTTCGGTCTAATCCAACTGCTGCCCGTACCCAACGTTATTTAACTTTCAAATATATCTGTTGCTTAACAAGAGGTGCCTCAATTATACCTTTTATACCAAATGTGCATTTCGCGGGCTAGTGCGTGACTTTAAATATTTTTTCTAAATAATGTATACAATGCATGTACTTTCAATTAAACAGTTTGACTACAATATCCATCTGGGAGATTATGTGTTACTCACATTTCCTCGTCCGATTAAGAGAGGCTCTGGACAACAACATATAGTAAACTAATTGAACAATTGCTTTGCATTTCTTTCAAATTCTCTTTTATATATATGTATGTAGAGTGCCCCTATGTTTACACTGGAAGTAGTTTCTCTTTTGACCGGAAGTGAGGTTCTTACTAAAGACAGGAAAAATGGATATGTCAGAGTTTCTGCGGAATTGACATGAATGGCATTGAATATTTGGAAAGATATATCATATCAATACCAAATGAAAACAACAATGAAAGAGATGTTTTCTACTTAAAAGAATTCAACCCTAAAAATGAAATGAAGAGGAAATTATTTCAATATGACTATTCATCAATTGCCAATACAACGCAAAACTTGAAAAAAATATTTGTAACGAAGAAAAGTTTAATTTGATGATAAGAGGCATACATTTCGGAATTTTTATCTACAAAACGATATATCAATATTTTCTTGAAATGCCGTCATATAAGCTATATTAAAAAATCGTTCACCTGGAGCGAGAAATATGCGCATGCGCGACGCGGTATATCTTCAATAGCTGCTTATGAAGCTGTTACAGACACAGATGATTAATAAAAACTATTATCGAAAGGTGTAAATAACGTAATATCATAAAGAATTCAAAGCGAATACTACACCTACAAATCAGGCCATCCCAGATATGAAATAGCCATCGAAAGACATGAAAGGTATTCAGTATGTCGTCTGTCGTTCGATAGGCTATTTCACACATTGGCTTCTTCGAAGAGGGAGGATTTTTCACTGATCCTTGTAATTGAAAGCAAATAAAATTTTAACAAAGAAAAGAAATTAAAGAATTGTAATCTTGCATGTCAAAGTGAGGTTAACACCAAATTTATTGATAATATAGATATAAGATTGTTCTTTTTGTCTTTACTGATATTTGAAATATTTACCTTAACCAGGGACGTATAACAGATAATCGATTTCTATTCCTTATAATTTTGCAGCAACCTCAAATTTACTTTCATGTGTACTAATATTAAAAGACAGACATCAGTCATTTCTTACCCAGACATGTACCTCGGAATTATCGGATTTCATTTCAGTAATAATTACCATAACTTTAGTATGCATATATAGTGCCTACACCCATCTTTGTATACCGAAAACAAAAGAATGAAAAAATCCCGCCCTCCCTACGATCGCATATGCCATCACGACAGAGATATAGAGTGATATCCCGTCCTCTTTCCTTTATAGCGCCGGCGTGCACGGACGTGTTGAGCTGAGTCCACTCATTATATTGTGTTCTGAGTATATTTTATTACCCAGTTATACTTTTATTGTAGCCCATCTCCCTTTATTTGTCTTTTTTGACATTAATTCATTATTTGTGCCATATTTTCGGCCGTTTAAAATTCCTCCACGTGTTCGAGTGCGTGACCGCGTGTACTGCCATTTCGGTTTTACGGGAGGTATTTTTATTGCTGCGTTGTCGTCTGTGTTTGCGGCCTCTGTTTTGGGTTTGTTTGCTTCGGCTACGTAGGTTTTTCCTTCGTTTTTCGTGGTTTTTTTTCTAGTTAATTGTTTTAAATATTGCTAGCGCTGGTCTGCTTTCTTTGGGGAACGGGACCCTCAATATGCCTGTTCTCAGTGCCGGCCTTGTGTTGTGTCGACTTCACATAAAATAAAAAAAATCATCATTTGTTCTCAACACCACGTGTATTCTCCTTTTGCTTCTCTTTCTCTCTTTTTTTCCCTCTTCACACTCTGAAGAGTTCAGCAAGTGACTCACAGAGTTATCGCCCTTCCCCCAAATTCCCAGACCAGTACAATCATAAACATTACACTTTTAGTGAGACTATAATAATAATAATAATAATGATAATAAACATTCTTTATTGAGGATAAAACATGTTTAGCCAAAGACTAATCTACCACATGGTCCTCTTGTTAGTAAAATACAAAAATTAGTTACAAAAATTAGCCTAAGACAGCACAGATAATAAGATAAAAATAGTAATACAGCATGTAAAATTATTTTGTCAAGTTAAATGGCTATTGCCTAATATACATACATGCTAACATAGCAAAACAATAGAAATTGACCTAATATATCCTAATATAGCATAAACTAAAAAATGTAACTTAATTAAGAGACTGAGTTGTTTAAAAGCTATGAAGATATTTGACAAGCTTTTGCTTAAAACTGGGAAATGTATTTACGGTCTTCAACTCATCTGAAAGACCATTCCAAAGTTGGATGCCGGCGATAAAAAACTGTTTGGAATATAATGTTGTTCTGTGTTTCGGAATATTAATGTTAGTCAGATTTAAATTTAGACTCATTAAAATGTTTGAAAGATCTGAAAGACATTTTGATATGAGAAAATTTTGATCCAAATGTTCTTTTGCGTACAACACATACAGGATAGTGATCACTAAGTCCATTTTCCACTACCTTGACCGCTCTGACCAATTCAGGTGCAGAAACATAGACGTGATCAATAAGAGTTTTAGTAGTGGCAGTAACACGGGTGGGGTCCTTTACCATTTGATGTAGTTGTAGGTTCTCCATAAGGTCACCAATGTCACAAGTATTTTCTCCCATTAAGTTTATATTAAAGTCACCCATTATAAAAAGTTCTTTGTTTTCGTTTTGACAGGACCCGAGAAACACATGTAGTCTCACGTCAAGGTCTCCCAACCGGCTCGGCAAGCTTCCTCCGGTGAGTGATTCGTCCTCTTCTTCCGGCAGGAGAAGTAAGCCTGCTAGGTCCTCCGCCAGCGGTTCTAAACCGTATCCTGCTGCTTCGGGGGCCTTGTCGACCAGCCCTAAAATGGTTCGCCGGATCTTTAGGACTTCCGCCTCCTGCGCGGACCCATTGGTCTCCGGATCCAAGGGGCTGGCTCCAGGTCCTACACTCAAGCTTACAGCCACGGCGGTTAGACGCTCTGGGCTTAAACGCCGTATTGATGAGCCTCCCTCACCTGAGTTGGCCCCTCTGGCACCCTCTTTTCCTCCCCGGATACTCCGGTCCCCATTGAGGTGGAGGATATGGATTGTGATGGCGTGGGTGTGGCAGATGAAGATGATGTTATTCATCTTTCTCCTGGGTGCTCGAATATTGACTCATCCGAGTCGCCTGACGACGACCCTATTGGTGAGGAGGGTTCCCGGGGGAAAAAAGGCCCGAGGTTGCTGAAGCTGAGGCTCAGCATGCATTTTCCGGGATGCGGGCCTTTCGGTCCGATGTCTCTCGAATTCTCGGGTCGGAAGTTTGCCAACCGCCTTCCGCATCTTCAATCCCTGAGTCCACCACCCGTTTATGTTCTCTGGTGACTCCTCGGGCGACCGCTCAATCTGACCGGTCTCTGCCAAAAGGCACTATTGTGTCATCAGCTCTGGCCACTGTCAGGTCTCGGGTGTTGGAGAAGAATTCATCTTCTACCCGTGCTCCCGGGTTCACGGGGTTGCAAGTCGGCGTCGGCGTTCAGCACAAATAAGCGCACTCATATTTAGCGCAATACTTTCAGCACGAATAGGCGCAATCATATTTAGCGCAATACTTTCAGCAAGAATAGGCGCAATCATATTTAGTGCAATAATTTCAGCAAGAATAGGCGCAATCATATTTAGCACAATACTTTCAGCACGAATAGGCGCAATCATATTTAGTGCAATACTTTCAGCACGAAGAGCGCTAAAATCAGATTTCTGCTAAAATTCCTTTTACAGTATATCCCAAAGCTTAAAATACGGCGACAATATAATACCGAAAAGTATGGAGGTTTATATTTAAAGACAACATGATTATTAAGACACCTTGAGATGGTATTGAATTTCACGAATTTTAACTGCGCGAATTCATTCGAAATTTTACTTCTTTCAAGAAGACAACAGATAGTAAGTCAAAGGCACGGTGCAGTAAGTCGTTTTCTTCTGATACGATGAAGTATATTGATATGAAAATAAACAGTAACGATATCTATTTTCAGACGCTTATCTTCGCTGTAAATTGTTTATTTTCGTGTTATTTTTTTATTTTTGTTGATTTTGGAGATGTCAGTCAGCGAATTAAACGAAATCTCCATGTTAATCTACTTAACGTTGGTGTTCATTATGTTTTATATCAACATGGAAATATTATTGGAATTTTTTTATCTGATTTTTTCTGAGAAGCCTAGGGAGTACAAATGTGATCGTTAATCATAACAGGCAGATAGCTATCTTTAACGTTTGGAGAATTTTTCAACATTATCTTTTTTTATCCAAAAAAGTATCGCCCGTTAGTTCGTAGACATATAAATTCGTGGTTGTAGATACCCACACCATCAATGAAAATAAATCCCCTCAAAATTAATTATTTTAAGTGTTGCATGTCGTGTGTCGGTATAATTCATGCAAAAATGTTTCAATATCTTTGATATGCAACGTATATGTCCAGCATTTTTTGGAAAGTCAAAGAAGAAATAAATTAATAATACAGCATAAAGAGAATACGTTATTACAAGTTGTACAGTATCATAACTTCACATGCATTTATTCAACCAAATGTACATACGGCTTAAGTATGATCTAATTTATAAAGAAATGAAAGGAGGGTTTGAAATCTCCTAAGAGCTTTATTTCTTAACAGAATGTATTTGAATATAGATTTAACATTGTATACCGACTGCTGTTAATTTTCAAAATTAGGTTTTAATAACATTGATTTGATTATTGGTTTAAATATAGAAATAGGGTTAACATGATATAAATGTGAATCACTGTTTTTCGGTTAAAATAACGGTTACACGACATTTTCATTACCGCTAAGAAAGAGAGTTTCTGGAGTGATATACTAAAGATTATTGATGTTTAATAAAGGTACATGTATTGTCATAATCAAATTTTGTCGCATTATCATTTTAAGTAAATTTGTACCATGAAGAATTTGCGTAAATAAAAAAAATAATTGCCATGAAAACAATGTTTAGAAACAATTAGCACAATCATGATTAAACACAATGCATTCAGTCATAAAATAAGATCATCTCATAAAGATATGTTAACATTGTATCTATTGGCTTTAAATTTCCTTAAAGAGGTTATCATAGAGCTCATGCATGAATGTCAGCATTATCTAATATCGATTTAATAGACTAAACAAAAACAAACAAAAAAACAAAAACAAACAAACAGGAAAAAATCAAACAAACAAATAAACAAAAAACAAAACAAAAAATTGGGTATATTGCGTTATTTCATTTTTTCAACATCTTTGATACACTGTTATATCAACTAGATATCTTGTCTTGGTAATTTGATGATTATATTGAAAACTATATTACCTTTTTATGTTTGATTAGCTCTAAATTTCTGAATTATACAAAACATAATTGACATGAGTTGTCTCTCTTTGTATAAGTATTCCACCAAGCTACAATGGCAGGTTCTCTAACCGACTTATTTTTAAGACAGAAAATTTCATAATAATATTCATAATGATATATATGTACAGGAATTTCTGGAGTATCTGATTAAGACTGTATTTATAATGCAATTCAAATAGACGAATCAGGAACATGTTGTCAAACTACATCCCATAATATCTCCTCCATCTGTCAGTTTCTAATAACTTTCAAATTGTTAATTACTTTGAAAATTGACTACACCGCTACGTCGGTTTGGCAAAACCCTCGGTTTTAGTCTTTATTTCCATTCCTGCTATTACTTGTGCTATAATATTTCCCACAAAAATTGGAATTAATTTATTGAGGTGGAAGAAATCATTTACCAGTATTAAGTTTAGCTGTTGTTCGTTTCTATTCAACATATATGGAGCGGAAATTACTTACATCAAATATGCAAGGGTAACCTGCAATGGGATGATGATGATGATAATGATGATGATGATGATGATGATGATGATGATGATGATGTTTTAAACATTCCGTTTAAGATACATGAAAAACGTTAAGAAAATACCAACATGGCAATATATTCACACGTCAAACTCAAATTCCATAAAATAAATACAAATAAAAAAAGTGCAAGGATGATAAGATCAGATATTCCGGAAGAGTAAGCGTCTTCTGCTTCATCGATGAAACCCGCCATGTAAACCTTGGTCAATGCAAGTAAGAAATGGCACGTTCTCAAATGAGAACAAAGTATACAACAACGGAACCAACAGGCAAAATAACGAGCATCAACTACGTCCAACTTTATGTCGCACAAAGAAATAGAATATTTCTAAATAAGATCACTATGGCGACCATAAAACTTCTCCATATTTTTCATCAATCTAATTCTTGTGTTACGAGTTTGTCAATCAGTTGACGACTTCTCCCATTCGTGATAATGAGCACGCCCTTGAGTCTCGAATCGACTGTGACGGGTAAATACCATAAGTTGGATATACAGAGATATGGTTATCCAGAAATGGACACTTCACAATGGGAAAAATGGAATCATCACACTAGTGTGAGGCTCGATATAATATATCTAACCTAGTTTTCATAAAACATTAAAATGAGATCTGTATGAGTATATTGTTCGACCTTTATATCTATTGATGAAGACGAAAACAATCAACAAATCATGTATCATGCTTTTTTATTGAGACAATTATTGAGAATTCACACTCATTACATTTATGTACAATGTGTTCGTAACATATTAATAGGCTATCATTATTCTGCGTTTGATAATAAAATTTACACGAGAAAAAAAATATATACGGGATTAGAAATCCTAAAAATCGCAAGATTATGTGCATAAACATTTAATATAAACTGCGGAAATCACTTGGTAGATATAAGTTTCAACCATATTTCAAAAGGGAAAGTTTTCTGGACAGACCCAGCGAAAGGTGGCTGTACAGACGCCGTATCCAACCCTCCAAGAGTACCATTGGATGACCCTATTGAGGGACACATACACGTCCTCATTGACTCCTCCCGATTGGTTATCAGACTGACCACTGAGGGCAAATAAACATTCATGACACAGCTGTTCGTCCATTCCTTGGTCCGTGATGACTCGTATAAATTCGTTACTCACGAGCAACGTCACATGACTAACGGAATTGGTCAGCTGACCCGAGAAGGCATGAAAATAGTTCTGACTGCCTAAACATTTGTCGCTCTTGAACAGCCGTATGTAGTTGTTCCATGCTTGCACTTCAGCGTCATTTTGTTGATGGCTCGAGTCGCCAGCTTGATTAGAAATAATAAAAAAAACACTATTTCACAACAAAGTCCGAACATTCGACGATAACCATAGGTAAAATAAAGATAATTATAGGAGAGTGATATGGTATGTTTCGATCTTATATGCGATATTAAAAAGTTTTAATGCGGAAATGTTGGGTTAAAAAAATATAATACAGATGATAAAAAGCGCATACCATTATTAGCAGGTATATCGATAAAGGCATTGCATTTTGGTGCTAAATCTTGGTAAATCATCGGTTCCGACTCAAATTCAACACCAGTGAGTAATTTATTTTCATATGAATCAGAAAATTAAAGTAAATCCAAACAATGAATCACACTGCATCATAAAGTTGTTTTGTCCTTTTAGGATTCGTCAGTGATAACAGCATAACAGAGTATAAACACCCAACATACATACATGTCATTTCTATCTATGCTACATGCAGAGGAAAGAACTATTCTTAAACACACCTGAAAAGATAATAATAATACAAAAAATGATAATATAACGATTGATATTTATGTTGGTAAACTATGAAAAATATTAACTTCTATAGTTTTACTGCGTTAACTACAATTTCATTATAGAGAAGCATATCATGTAAGGAAACATATTCAAGTTACCCCATCCGTTGTTAGAGACGCTATCTCCGACATTAAATATGTATTCGCCTCTCTCCAGATCTAGGTCAAGGTCGACCTGTAACATCTTTCGACCACATCCGGGAGGACTATGGCATCCACCACAGGTGTCTTTTTCAAACGTCACCTTGACTATGACACCACGGTTACATTTAGATAAAGTCCTTCTTGGTGCTTTTCCAAAGTGAATGATCTGCACGCCCTCCATGGACGGTAGAAATGTTGGTTCGTCTTCATTCAGTTGAAGGGTCATTGCTCCGCTTATGCAGCAATGGTTTCCATTTGCTGCATCATTTTCTGCCTGTGAAACGGCGACTTTGTTGTCGAGAAAAGAAATCATAGTCAATGTGAATTTGAACAATTTTCAGCACAATGATTTAATAGTTATGATTATAGATTTCATATTCACATCACATCTAGTAAATTGACCATAAGTTACCAATTATGTTACAGATATGATGACGACAACAATATGAGCACTTGCTTGTTTTGCTTCACGACAGTCTAAACTTCTACAAACTTATTTTATTCACAAGGGATACCTATATATGAACTATATCTATTCCACTGTAGGATGTCATTGGATTAGAACAGATGACTCACCATACTTATCGATCGGGTCAATGGTTTGTTATGGTTAGTTGTAAAGGTTGGTTTTATACGGTGAAATTTTTTGCGGTTCTATATGGTTTAAATTTTCGTGGTTCTATAAAATCTTGTTGCAAAAGGGATATATTTTTTTCTCTATGACAGCATGAAACGGACTTCTATTTCTTTTAGCAATTTTATTTTTGAAATATTTCTTTTTCATGGATCCATTCTTCCCTCGAAAATAGCGAAGAAATGGAACTTTATGTACTTAACTATATATATAGGTAAACAGTAAATCATATAAAAGATATAGGTATACAATGTAATTTACCCGTAATGTGAAGTTATTGTTTTTATTCTATAACAAATTATCAATAAATTCTTCTTGTTTATATTCTTGATGTTTAACGAAGATAAATACCTCACAGTTTTGAATGACATCGATAAGCGACTTGTTAGAGAATTCTCATTTATATAATTGTAAATATCTCAATGTAAATAATCATCACATGTCTTGACATTGTTTTGAGAGAATAATAACTTTTCATTATACCATCCTGATTTGTAGATGTCTGAGTGTTGACGGACGACTGGACAAGAAGAAGCACCAGGGCACACAGTGTTAAGTTTGTTGCTGAAACACAAAACTTATGATATTAATGACAAAATTATATGGTTATGTCTTTATCGTTTTACAGGGAAAATCTAGAAAGTTTCTGGAAAAATAGCATCTTCATCAATACAAACATGAAATTGATTTTTTCATCATTTTCCATGTATTTGTTTTTTAGTATTTGAAACTGTTAAGCACTGAAATTATTTTAGTTGGCATTTAAAGGCATATGAATACCACCTGGTTAAATACAAGTTCAACATGAAACGCTAATGCGCTACATTGAATTTGTCCTTATCCTATTGTCAGTCATAAGCCTAAGAATGCCAACTGATCATTCCAGTGCTTAATTGTTTTAATATTAAGCATCGTGGTTGTAAAATTGTCTTTGTTATGCTACCATAGTCTTCTTTCTAGCGGTCTATATATTGACAAGTCATTTGCATGGGCTTAGACAATCTTAGGGGACTATTTCATTACCGGCAGTTATTCTACACGTATAAAAGACTTATTGATAAGTTGTGAGCCTCATATTTGAGGGTTTGACTTTTTTTTTTTAACATAATCCCAATGATGTATAATATATGGCATTAATTGCTTGTCCCTTTTGCAGATAATCTACCATCAGCATACCAGAAAACCGAGGCTATAACGTTTTCAGCTGATGGAACAGTATTTGCCTTCCTTGGCGGGGGTGAACCAGGGTGCTACCATGGTTTAGACTGTTATTTGGCCTCTGGGGAGAAATGATGGGTCCACGTTTCATCTATAGTCACAAACCTCCGCAGAAAGATAGCAATATTTGCTTCTAAACGGTACATATAAGCACGCAACAAAGTCCGCCTGGCGTGCGTCTGGTCAACTAACAGAAATCTTGGTACCAAACTGGCTGAGAGTTTTCTCATTGCACCTTCTGTATTTTGAAATGTACTCTCTCCTGTGTTATACCAACTGTACTGGCTATATATCTCTCTGTAACTCACGTATTAGCCATAACAACATCATGGACTTTATGAACCATTTCTTGGGTTTCAACTGTGACAGACGGGCATCATCCCCAAGGCTCTGCCTACCAAACTTAAATATCGCCACCAACATTTTCACTGCAGCATATGAAGAGGCATCATTCCCCAGTGTTGCTACCATAACAGTATGGATATCCTTAGGTGCTATACCTTTTCCCCGTGCAAATATTGAATTACTGCTCTTTCAGCGATTATGTCCATTTTTTGCAAAAGTCACTTGCCTTGTTTACTTTCGATTGCTACCTCTTCGACATAAACTGACCAAATGACACAAGGCTTCGGGCATACAACCCTAAAAAGTCATCCCTGCTTAACTTCTTCAATACAAGGCTCACAACTCATCAATCAGCACTTGTATTTAGTGGGTTATTGAGACATGTGTCTTGTCCTAGGAACGAAATGTTGACACGTGCGACGTTTCAGAGGATCTATGGCGGTAGCGGCTAATTTGAGTTCAGAGGTGAAAATCATTACTACATTCAGAAATCACGCAACATTTCCTCTGTCACTTATGTAAATCATTTCAATATTTAATAGTTTATTATATGTCTGTGTTTACCTGTTTCAATTGCTTACAGAACATAGGTTGGTAGATTAAAGCAAAGAAGATAGGTGCTTGGATTTTAAAGGAGTTTTGCTTTCTAAACGTGTATTACTCTGACTAATGGATTTGATACAGCCTTTGTTTAATGTAGGAACCCAGGACATTGTCTTCAGGAACAAGCAGGTTAGACGTCACTGATAAATTAAAAAGGTACCTGCCTGTTTCTAAACATGTAACAAAACACTGAAAAATGAAACATTGTTTTCTTCATGAATCTTTTATGAATGAAACATTTATATACTGCAATTTCACACTTTCTGAGTCTAACAAATCTATCTGATGGATTGAATTACAGCATTAGTAAAACTCTCTTTTTACATATAAACATGCTTTGAAACCGATTCTAATTTTATTTCATTTCCCTCCTTCTAGGCACTATTCTACCCATATCATCACTGAGGATCCTGGGAAGTAAAACAGGAAACATCAACAGCATTTTTTTATTCTAAGGCAAATTTCACTGGTGTTATTTGTATAGTGTGTTTAACATTTTGAAATTGTATCAAAATTTATATCTTGAAAACAAAACAAGTACTTTCAGAGTAAAATTTTGTCGAATACTGATTTGAAAATAGCTATTGCATTGGCTCTACGTGTATTTCTATCCGAATAAAGACAACAAAAGTAAAATAATACCATGGTCATATTATTGAGTTTGTTATAAACCAAATTGGGAATGAATGTAAACATGTCGTAACAACTTTAGATATAAAGTATCAATGTCATAATTTTATTAAATATGTATATTCATGTAATTTGTTTTGCTGATAAGAAAAACCTTTCAGATTTTTCTTTACAGTTTTGAAATCCCGATCTTTGTACCAGTATTTACTTTAAATATAAGTAAATGTATGTTTACGCATTTTATTCGTTTTATTTTTGATAATATTGATTAATTGATCCTATGTCTTCGACAACATAAAATGCAAACGTAGCTTTAGAAAAATGCTGCCTCCTATTTTCACCGAGAGGGTAAGTTATTTAATAAACCTATTTCCTATTATCTGATTTGTTTAAATAAAACCAACGTAAAATTATAAGTCATTTCCATTTCTATCCAATTAACGTTAACGCCGACTTCCGTGTCTATATACATTGTGGATATAAAACACGTTCCAACCAATTAACTTCAATTCCGATTTCAGTGTCTATGTACTTGGTAGATGTAAAACATGGTCCCATGTTCTTTTAGCTGCATTAAGTGTATTGTGAATAATGAAATCATACATATTGCATGAATGTCATCATTTAGCTAATACTGAACTGAACTTAATTCAAAGTTTAAAACCTAATGACTCGCTCGTTTATAGCAAACATCGAATAAAAATTAGAATATCAAATACAAAGGAAGAATCTATTTGTATTTTACGCTGTGAGAACTGTGGCTTTGAACAAATTGTTTTGAAAATATCATTTAGATTCCCTCGCGTGCGGGACAATTTCAAAACGAGGAGAAAACAAAACGAAAATAAAAACAAAAGTGTAATAAGGTTTTGTTATCAACAAAGTAAAACACAAATACTGGAAAAATACTTAGCTATGAAAAGAAAGTACTTACCGGCCATGTTGATTTCTTGTGAAAGTCAACGACCACATTTTGTAGGACATTGCCTGAAGACCGTACCAAGTAATACCCGTTGATAAAACTGACTATCTTGAATATATGTGAAAGACGTTGACCCAACATTTGATAACTAGTTGTAGATTTCAAAAGCCTTGTTAGATTTTTGAAAGTTTCTGATAAAACTGTAAAATATAGATTATTAAATAGCTTACATTTACACTAGTTTTTTTTAATTTTGTCAGTGACATTAATGTTCAAAATTGAGAAAGGCAAAAGATATGTCTTGGATTGAAATACGGTGTTTTTTTAACAAACTCATTTCATTCCAAATATCTATGATATTCTGTTATGTCTTATGAACTATACAGACATGTTGTATCCATTTAAACAAATAGGATTTAAGAAAAAGATGACTATTCACTTACAAATCTGATATATTCATCAAGATAGTTCCGGGTACTTTTTTAAACCGTAAACATTTGTAAAGTAGTAAAGTACATAAAGCATAAAGGTTATGTTTTTTCATACAAAGACTTATCGTCAAGTCGAGTCATTTTCAGTCACCTCTAGAAAAAAATGCTTGTCATCCCAAAAATTATCCGATGTCATTAATATCAGGCTGGTACAAAATGACACTCTCTGTAACATTCGCTTAATAATAGATTTATCTTTCAGGTATATGAAGAAAAAAGTTCCTCCTATCGCGTGATCCTGTTTTCCTGAGATCGCCCAAGCGTGTAATTTATCTCGTGCTATTAGTCCAAGTCTGCTCCTCGCCATCTATGATACCTGTCATACCTGATCTACCACTGTATTATATAAAAAGTTTCCTCATAAAACCATGTTTTATTATCAG